AGACTTCCGAACGCCGACATTCCGGCGGGAAGGGCAAACGACCAGAGTCGCGCGATGCCGAACGCCGACATTCCGGCGGAAAAGGCAAGGGCAAGAGCAAGGACACTTCCCGTGACGCCGGTCCTCGCCCTAGCGCAATGGACTCTGCGTTCGAACGCCCCGAATACGGCGTTAGCTCAGCCTTCGTCTACTGCTTGTGGATGATTTGGTCCGGATTTCGGCGAAGAAGCCTTGAACCGGATCTACGAGAGCGAGCTCTACGATAAGATTTCTCGTGAGCTAAAAGCTGGATCCTCCGACATTCCGGATGGACACATGCTGACCAGTCGCTCTCAATTTTTGAGCCAATGGCCGGGGCTCGTTTTAGGAAGATGCTCAGCGTTTGGGCTCACACCTGCCACGCCAAGGAAGACCTTGCCTTCCCGGCTGTGCAAAAGGCTCAGATTCAGCCATGGTGTGAAGCATCTGCCGAGCGCATAAACCTGCTGCTACCGCTTGCCATCACCATTATGTATAATCAGAAAGGCAGGTACCAGGTTGGCATTCTGAGCACTTCCGATCATCAGAAGGGTGAAAAGTTTGTTAGTAACCCTTCTCAATGGATCCATCCAGCCGGTATGACGGCTGAGGATCGCAAGGAGCTTGCCCAGTTATATAAGCAGTTCAGGGCAGCTCATGTTTTTGTGCAAGCCGTTTCCAGCCATTCGGGAGGTGCCGAAGCACCATTAACCGGCCTTAAGATCCCGAAGTGCCAGCTCTCCGATATGCCGGACACGCTGGTTCACATGACTGAGTATCGCCGCGTCCGCTCGATTAAGCAGTACGGTCTCCTTCCCGGAGGCGTCAGTACAGCCGGCAATAAGCAGCGTAACATGAACCACTTCCTGCCGATCGACGGACTTCTGGTCTCTTATGAACACATTCGACCAACGGCCAATGTGATACTCGTCTTGTCTAAGGCAACGCTGGAAAAGCATCCAGAGCTCATGGAAGATTTTTGCCTGAGCAAGAATGGATACTTTTTGACCAAGGCCGTTATTCCGGCCGGTCTTTTCAGTCTAGCATGGGACATCCAGAACAATTGCTGTGTGTCAACTAAGCTGTGGGATGTCCCAGACTCCACTCCAGCCATGTCAGTCCCCGATGAGCCGTACTTGCGTTTTTATTCTCAATTCTCAGCTCTATTGCGAGGTACTGAGGCTGGTAGGCAAAGGCCACGATAAGTTCAAGACTGAAACCAGGCGGCTTGCATTTAAGAATATTAAGATTCGCGAGGTCGAGGCATGGCGTGAGGAGGCCGAAGAGAAACTTGATCGCCATCAGCTCCACGGCATGTCCAAGACCCACACTGAGACATGGCTGAATTTTCTCTCCCTCGACGACGACTGGAAGGATGGAGCCACCAACATGCGTCGTCTCAAGAAACGCTCGTTGTCGGAAACGACCGAGGAAGAGGGAGATGACCTGATTGATGTCGATGATGACGACGACATGGAGGTCGATGCCGACATTCCGGCAGACGACGATGATGAAGTTCAGGTCATAATTTTAGATGCAGCCATGGTGGACGACCTCGCAGAAGCATGCCAGAAAGGCACCTGGGTCAAGAAAGGCACTGTGAAGAAGGAAGAGTCCGATATGCCGGACGATCCTTCAGCAGCAGCCTCATCGTCTGCAGCAGTCAAGAAAGAAGAGAAGCAGAGCACAAGGGTCTGGTCCTCCCGTGCACGGTCACGAACCCCGTCTCGTACTGTCCTTAAGAAGGCTGACCATGCGCCGGGAGCCGCCCGCACTCCATCCGAGGGTCGCAGAGTTTCGTTTTCCGATATTCCGGAAACGAAGTACATCGAAGCAACATCCAAGAAGCGTGCGACATCGCGGGCGCGGGAGGTCATCAGCGATGCAAGGAAAGCACAGAAAGCACCAACTAAGTTCCATCATCGCCCAGATGAGATGACCTGTCTGACCTGTGCAAATGCTGAGGTGCTCTTCTTCTGCAGAGCATGTCGACATGGAACATGCCTTGACTGCTACCACGATGTAAGTAACCATTGTTCCTGCAACAGCATTTATCTCTGTTCGACCGTCCCAGACGCCGATATTCCGGCACCGCTGGGTGAGCACGAGCGCGAAGAGATCACTGCAGAAATCGATTTCACGATTCCCTTCGCAGCCGAATCCGAGGGTTGGCACCCGGACGACCGTCATGTCGGTCGATTGCACCGTTTGCAAGAAATCAAGGATCTTGTTCTCGGTGGCGGCTCAACAGGTTATGCCGCGATGGATCGAATTGTCCTCGAAGGAGTCAGCAAATACCATTACACGAACCATCCAACCTACAAGAGCCGCGCCATCCCCTCGATTGCTCAACATTGGGACGAACAGTCTGATGTGGCACCATACCCAATCATTCGGCCAAGCTGCTATTATACGACTCCAATCGCCGATATACCGGCGCGGAGATGCGACAGATTGTCGAGTTAAGCCGTTCGTACATGCAGGGATATCGCGCGAACCAGGGAGTATTTGACCTCGATGAAGCACGACTTCTCCGGTCGACTGAACACGTCACAGTGTCTTGCTTCTCAACTTCGGCGATATCAATCGTACACCTCACTTCAACGGTAGGCTGCCACTATCCAGGGATCTCGCCGAGACCGATCAATACGCTGTGCTTCCACATTACCTTGTCAGGAACACAGCCCATATCACAATCCTTCTTGAAGCCAACGGCATCGAGCGTCATCGAGAGCTCTTTAATCAATACAAATGCCTGTGCGTGTTGGCTACATCGGATGGCGAATCTCCTGCCATCGCAGCAGTCTGCTCCAGTGATCCACTTGGCACTTCAAGGCTGGAGCTCATCCGGAGGATTGAACTTGAAGGCGAACGATTAGCCTGGGTAGCCCATGCCGCGACATTCCGCGTGCTCTGGGGAAAGGTCGAAGAATCGACAGATGGAGGCATCACCGATGACCGTGGAGTCCGAAAGAACCTCCGTGTTGCCCTTGAAGAAGGCGCTGATCCAGCAGATAACATGGAGGCAACAGTCTGCCCTGACACCTTAGCTGTCGCACAAGCATCCACCACTTACATTGAATCTTTGCCAGTGGATGCAGAGGCATTGTTCCATGAGTGTCCGACATTCCGGACCGGGAGCCTGAATGACTGCAAGCGCATGCACATGCCTGAACTTCAAGTCTGCGCTTTCCACATCAATGCCCATGCCTTTCAGTCAGGTATTACGGCCGGCAAGAACGCCATCATGAAGATTTTGATCACGGCCGTGGCAGACCAGGTGGACGTCATCGCGTGCGATGCTAATCAGTTCACGAACCGCAACTTCCGGGGCGATCGACGTGCCGATCCAGGAACCGGAGCTGTCCTAACCATCCTTGACCAGATTCTTGTTTCTGCGAACAAGAAGCGCGAGCCGAGTAAGCGCATCACCTATAACTGGGAGGTCTCAACCCTCGCCAGTGAGCAGCTCGCTGCTTTGGAAGGTCTGGATGCCGATTGCGACTGCCTGTTGCAGATCGCCTTAAATTACGGCAAGGACATGCATACGTTGCGGTCGAGGACATCCGATATTCCGGATGATCGTGGACGTGTCGGATATGAGCAGCCTCCACGCCAGAAGGAGACTACCATTAAGGTCAACGAATTCCTTAAGCACTTGAATCACCTTGATCTGTGTCTGAAGAGCAGCGATTTGGGTTACCACCACCCATTTCAGTGCAATTTTTCACTTGCCAGCCGACACAAGATCAGAGTTCGTGGCCAGCAATCCGCCGAGAAACGTGGCGAGAAGAATGCCGAGCGGCTTGAACGTTTGAAAGAACAATCTCGGCAGAAGAAACAAGCTCGCCAAGCTGGCTGGCACCAGCCCTGGTCCTCGGGAGCGTCAAGCTCATGGTGGTACACCGGTTCCTCTTCCTCATCTTGGAACCCCGGTTACCGAGGCTACAGGGACTGGTAGGTAGTCTCTGCTCTAAGAAGCCGACATACCGGCTAGAGCATAGCCAAAGGCAGTAGTCTGGAAAAGCCGATATTCCGGCCGACTACAGGTAAATGCCACAAAGCTAAATGCACTTTAAATGACCCAGATATATCTAAACTAAAGGCCTTATAGATTTGACTTCAACTTGATGATTTGACTTGAGAAAGAAGATTTCCGACATTCCGGAACGTTCGATGCAGCAAGCATGCCTTTCGTAGATTTGTAAAGATTATCTGACGCAACCTAGATGAGCCAGAATGGCATCTACGGTCGAGTTCTGCGAAGTCAGAACTTTTCGAATTCATTTGCATCTTTTTGCGAACCTTTTGTACTTTAGAGATCGTAAGCTTCGACACGAAGAAAATTTGTGTCTGTTTTGTGTTTAGTGGGGTCCTAGGTCCCCCTAGGCGTGTCTACGCTATACTTGTGTAGCACCTGTTCTTGTACATACACTAGTCTGTAGCTCTTCAGTCCGCTTTCGACATAATTCATTTGGCTCAAGACTTAGCAGCCCAATACTGCATTCACTGCCATAGAAAGGGTGTGCCTCGCCGCAGCTCGCACACTGACCGCACGTGTTTGACTGCTTGGTGTTTCGATCAGGTCCAGTTAATCCAACTGCCACTTCTGCACCCCCCCCCTAGTTCACCCCCCCCCCACGATTTGTGGAGGACAAAACTGGAGGAACTATTGAGTTTTCTTTGACGCAGCCTTTGGTGGTGTTTTGGGCGCCGCAGAGGCCGAGGGCATAGATCCAGAAGACGTCGCCGTCGTAGCTGGAGCCTTCTTCTTCTTCTTCCTCCATGGTGTCCTTCTGGGCTTCTTCATTGAGTCCTTCTTTCTCCCCCCCCGCCCAAGTCAGTGACAGCGAGAGCCCTCCTCAACTTCAGGTACTCCTTCCCCGGCAAACCGCTTGACCCTCATATATGGGCCATCTGACTTTTTGCCATGCGTTGGATCGCTTCCTCGGCGCGGATTGGAGGCGTCTTCACAAACCAAACTAGGAGAGCAAGAAGAAGTCGCCCCCCTCGTCAGCTTCTCCACTCAGCTTCTTCCTGAACAAGCGCGCCAAGGCCGCAAAGTTCGCATAGCGACCCTCATCAGGAGCTCCATGATCCCGAAGGCCTTCCAATTCTTCATAGTCAAGTGGAGATGTAGGAACGAAGGTTTCCCTGAACGTTTCTGGGCAAGTCTTGTGTCCTCTTCCACCTCTCGAACCGGAACGCTGATACCCGAACACTCTTCTTTCTCTCTTCCCATCTCCTAGCTGCCTCCTGTCCTCCCTTGGGGACAAGCACATAGAGCCCAGCATGGCCCAGCTTGGGTGACGCCAGCTTGCAGCGGCTTTCGGCTCAATGGTGATGCCTTCCTTGACTTCACCTTCATGTTGAGGTTTCTGGAGGGGTGAGGATCATAGCGTCCATCTTGACCTCCTTTTCCGACGCCTTCAGAACCTCATCTTTCTTGGAAAGCCCTACCAAACATCATAATGGCAGCTTTTTCAGCTTCGTCAGCTCGTCCCATAGTCACCCGCTGCACAGAAGCCCGTTCCATAGCTACCTCTTTGGCAGGTGGTTCAGCGGCTGGTTGAATTTGAGGTTCAACCGCCACAAACAAATAGTTGGCTCCCCCACCCTCCTCAACGGCCACTTCAGCCATCTCAGGCTCCTTAGTTCCGGCCGCCGTTGTTTTTGGAGTAGCCTTCTTCATCGACCTGATTTGAGCCCGACCGTTACTACACTATAGGTTTCCTTTTTCCAGCGCTTCCAAACACATCTTCATTCCTAACAGTTTGAGAAAACTCTGAAACGCCGAGGACTTCTTCCACACGCCCACCCAAGCTTCTCAACCACGACTTGAGCGATCTTGTCGGATGCGCTGGTCGCTCGAGTTCTGAGGAATCGCTGCGACCTCTCCTCTATAGTCAGGGTCTCCCATCACATCAACACCCTTTTGGATATTTAAGAGAAATGAGACCGCAATCTGCCGTATCCCCATGGCCATACCACTAGGAATCCGCTTCCTTTCAGTTTCACCTGGAGCCAATGTCCCAGCGGGCAAGATTCACCTTCATCGTATCATATATTATCTCCCCAATGCAAAATGCGTCTGAAAAGTGATATTCCCCACTCCTTAACCCTGTGAGCCAGAGTAAGGACGCCGCGGAGAAGCAAAGTCAATCCAAATCATCACACTTGAGGACCTTCATCACGCCCCTCAACTTCAATGTTCTCAGCCTTGGGCAGGCACCTGACAACCCGCGCAGCCCTCACCTTCTTGATCTCTTCAATCTCCCCATTCTCCATGTGGGCACCTGGCCGAAAACGTTCAAGCGAAGGATTTGTGAGAGCAGCTCGATGTTGAAGACCAACCTCTTCATTTTCCACCGCCTCAGCCAAACAGTTTGCTCAAGATGTCTTGTGCGCCAACCAACCTCCACCGTCACCACTGGCCAGAATGAGAGCAGCGCGGTTGTCGATGTAGAGCTCCAACTCCACCACAGGTTCCAGAAGACGAAGAAAGATTGAACTGCTCGACCGCAATGAGGACCTTCCATCAGGCAAAAAACTTGCCTCCGCCGTTGACAGGAGACCAGCCCTTGACGTCTTGATTCCCGTTAGATTGGACAGCCAGCGTGCATGATGAGGAGGTCACAGACTTCTCATCCCCGACCACGAACGCCGCGTCAACAACGACCTCCATCGTCTTCTCACATCTTGGCATGTCCTCAAACCATCAAGGTGATCATTCTCCCCCTTCACCTTCCCATAGACCAAGCCCAAGTCACCCCTGGCGTTGCAGTAGTTGAGAACTGACCTTCCAAGTTGGATGGCCCAGGATGGATTCTTGGCGCGGGTCTCGCGCGACCAGCCAGCCATAGCAACCCTCCCGTGATTCCATCAGCCTCGTTGACAGTGCTGAAGCCCACATCCTTCTCAAGCCCCTCTTCATCTCTGAGTCCCTGTAGGCAGCCCCACAGCTGGTCGACAAGCCACCCCTGTTGCGACTTGTAGTGGGGCACCTAAGCATTCTTGCGTGGTCGATTTTGGAAGACTGCAGGAATCTCTTTCGACCAGTGCGCGGTTGACTGTGCAGCAAAAAAGCTTTGTTACTGGTGTGGATTGCGGAACTGTATAATTGTGAGTTGCAGGGCGTTGGCCATCATGATGTCATGTACTTTTCACATGCTAACAGAAAGGCAAATTTCGCGCCGCCATCGCTCAGCTCGACGCTCAAGCGGTGAGAGTTCATGCCAAAGTGATTGACGAGGAACGTTTATCCGCAAGGTATAGACAGCACTATTAGAGAGTATGTACTTCAAAAAGCGTGCGTGACACGGTTGGTTCGCGTTATCGCTTTCTAGCTTTAGGCATTTTCGTTCGGGAACGAACAAGCATATCCTGCATCGTGAGGTGTGTCCGGGAGAGGAGTGGGAGTGGGATAGAACATGGAAAAACACATGGTTTTCACATATGGTCTATGTCTGGCTATATTTGTTTTATACCTTATTACCGTATGATTTGCGTCACCAGGTCCATGAAAGGCAAACAAGCGACTCGTCTCAACAGTCTATGTCTTATCATGTCTTTCATGAATGCATCATACGCCTCAGCTGGTTGGAATTAAACAGTTTTTTGCACAAAGCGCCTGCAAGTTAATGTAATTTGGACACCCTGAAAACGGCACAGCTTCAAGGAGGTCGATTGATATATATATATCTATATATATACAACAATGCTGGTAAACCACTGTAAGAAGGACGCGAATAAGCAATTTGTAAGAGGGTCCGAAAACAGTGATTGTAGAGACTTCTTATATTTTGCGTTCATCTCCAAGTTTTGTCCCGATCATGCACATTGTATAGTTTATTGTGCGTTAACTAATCACTCTACTCTTCGACCCCCTTGAACATGTGCAATTTCAGGGGGTCGAAAAATAGATCCAACAATGCTTACAAATTGCAAGCAAAACATATATATATATCAAAACAATTCATCAGAGGGTCCAACAACAGAGTGATTGTAGAGACATCTTTTACCCTCTCTACCTCTCTCCGAAAGCCACTGGTGCGGGCGGTTGTCGTCGCGAAGCGACCCGAACAGTATAAACATGTATAAACGCATCTGCTCTAGTGAGCACAACGGCTATTTGCATACAATAACTTGTGACACCATTGCATGTGCTCAAAGACAAAGAAGGTTGCCTCGTAATCTGACAACAAACAGCGAGCACTTTAGTGTACATGGGCTTCATGAAGTGTACATGTTGCGCCAAGAATCTGCATGCGTTCGCATTTGCTTCATGATGGCCACGTCCTTGCGCTCGAAAAATCTGACGAGGGAAGGTGCTGAACTGTCACAGTTCCAAGAATAGGAATGGTGTGGCCTAACCTTTGCTAAATTGAATTTTGACAACCTCCAACCTCCAACTTTGCAGAACCATCACATATCATCACATCCCATATCTGAAAGAGTCATCAAATTCAATGCAAAGCAAACATGGAGCGAAACATCCCCCCAAACAAAGACCGAGCATCTTCAGTCAAAACTATTGAAGCAGAAACCTCCGAAGGAAAGCTCAAGAACCCTTAAGTCCTTGAGTCAACCTGAACAACCTCAACAACTCTACCCACACAGTTGCTGAGCCCAAAACTGGTTCCCAGCTTGATTGAAACAAATGCCACCAAAACAGAAACCTGAAATGCACGAGCATCTTTTGTGAATCAATAGGCCTTCACCAAATTTCCCAAACACCCAACACCATGGCAATGCTTGCCCGGCTAGTCTAGTCTCCCCTTCGAACGGCGTCCTTATCAGCTTTTGCACTCTCAATGGCAGTGTGGCAGAACCTTGCAGTCGGAGGCTGCTACTGGTCTGAAAGCGGCCCAAGTATGTTGTGGAATATTTTTTACAAACGCCAGTGTGCATGCTCATTGTTTGTTGAGCCAAGGTGGCACTCCGGTGACTACGTTCAATACGGCCAGAACTGCAATCACAATATACCTGGGCGGTCTTTCCACAGAAACACTATGAAACATCTGGAACCACAACCAAGAAGGTTTACTACTTCTGATGCCATGGACAATATGCTAGGGTTGCACAAGTTCTCCGCACATCAAATACGATATTTATATAGCTACAATAAACTTCTGTGCGACTTGAGGACTCCATCCAGGACAGAGTCTATCCTTTGGAAACAAGCTCCAGTTGAGCAATCAAATAGAAATTGTCGAGCTGTTGGACTGCTTACTGTTCATGATGAACCCAGAGTGCACATCGAGCGAACTCCGAATGCAAGCTTGACCGAGGGGCAGAACCATGCTCCCAGCAGCTAGTAGTCCGACAGAGCGCAGGGGCTTCAAGGCTTCTTCCCAACTGAGGCCACCAGTAATTGACAGGAAAAGAGTGAGCATACCTTAGGTAAGGCAACCCTTCGCACGGCAACGTAGCACAGTTTGCTCAAGCTTGCCCGACCCAATGACAAAGATGCTTTCTGGCACATCTTGCCAGTGATTCACAACCTTCTCGTCGCACTGAGCATTGTTGGGCGCACCAAGTTCGTACCTGAACATAGCGGCAGCTTACATCTTCTTATCTGCTACAATTCTGTCAGTTTGCGGCAATCACAAATCATGATCCAGCCGATCCAACCTCTGTGTGTGTGTAACCCTTGGAGTCATAGGGATCCGTCAGGATTAGTTTTCTTTTTACATTATGGCAGGGGGGCAATGAACACTTTGGAAGGCATTGCCCAACGAAGACCCTTCCATTGTGTTGCGATATTCCTGAGGGACGCCTCGGGAACGTACCTGCAATTTTCCATTTTGAATGGCGAGAGGCTAAGCCAAGAACCTCATTGAACTTGGCTTTTCTGCACGTACGTCGTCACCTTGTCGTCCGCTCGATCGATGCTTTTCTTTTGGAGTTGCTGGCCACCTGAAACCTTTGAGACCTCCGCTGGATGGACCTCCACTTCCTTTTAGGTTTCTTTACTTGTACCCTTAGGAATTGGAACCCTAGGCCGGCGTGTGGCACCGCATTCAGTTCAGTACACAATATCTCAAGTGTGTTTGGCTTCGTGCCAACCCGCTCTGGGAACGCAGATGTCCGCAGCGGACAGCAGGTGGCCTAGGCCGTACGTCCGATGATTTTTGTCTCATCTTTGGAATTCTAAGCTGGCTCATGCCCATACGTGACCGCAGCGGTCCAAGCTGGCTTAACGCCTCAACGTGGTCAGAGCGACCGAAGTACTTTTGAGGTTCATTGGAACCTGTCGCGAGCTTAGTCCCCTGCTTCCCCTTCCCTTCCCTTTCTTTCCTAGCTTTTTGGGGCTTTCCTGAATGAAAGACTCAGGATCACCCCTTTCCTTCTTTGGTGTGTCCCTGGACGATTCTTCGTAGCTGGGAACACCTGCCCTTTCCTTTTCTCTCCTCTCCCTTTCTCTCCCTCTCTCTTTCTTTCTTTCTCTCTTCCCTCTCCACCTTCCTTCCTTCTTGGGTGTCCCTGGATGCTTTTGTCATAGCTGGGAACCCTTCTCCGCTCTTCTTTTGGTGTGTCCTTGGACGCTTGCGTCGTAGCTGGGAACACCTTCCTTCCTTCTCTTTCCTTTTTCTCGTCTCTCCCCACCCCTCCCTCCTGTCTGGACCTTAGCTTGGGATACTTCTAGGGGCTCCTGGCCTTCCTAATAGGTGCCAGGTCGCTACTTGACGCTACTAGAGGTTCCTGGCCTTGCTACTACTTTGTCCGCACCTTTTGGCGCGGAGCTTAAAACATGCCTCCCTTCGGGGAGGCGTGTGTGTGTAACCCTTGGAGTCATAGGGATCCGTCAGGATTAGTTTTCTTTTTACATTATGGCAGGGGGGCAATGAACACTTTGGAAGCCCTTCCATTGTGTTGTCATATTCCTGAGGGACGCCTCGGGAACGTACCTGCAATTTTCCATTTTGAATGGCGAGAGGCTAAGCCAAGAACCTCATTGAGCTTGGCTTTTCTGCACGTACGTCGTCACCTTGTCGTCCGCTCGATCGATGCTTTTCTTTTGGAGTTGCTGGCCACCTGAAACCTTTGAGACCTCCGCTGGATGGACCTCCACTTCCTTTTAGGTTTCTTTACTTGTACCCTTAGGAATTGGAACCCTAGGCCGGCGTGTGGCACCGCATTCAGTTCAGTACACAATATCTCAAGTGTGTGTGTTGCCGTACTTATGTTTCAGAGTTGCGTCATCTTGTGTGAGGAGTTCACTAGGATGGGCTTTGATAATTGAATCATTGGACTGAACATGACTGAACTTGTGCTAGACCAATTTAGTGAAGCAAGCATACATCTCCAGTTCTCAAGGAGAAGGGCCTGCAATAATCTGTCACCATTTGCGTGAGGATGACCTTAGCCATGAAGCAAGTGGGTGCTCAGTCTGACCAGACAGGGGTTTTACAACATGCGTAGATTGTCTAGGACTTTTGATGGCTTGCAGCTTGTAACAGCAGCACTTGCAAGGATCGCAGCGTAATTGCTGACACAAACAACTATCAGCGGCGGCTGTGGCTCTACATCATGTTTGCTCTGCAATGTAGGCTGGTAATTTCGCATTCTGCATCTCAAAAAACATTCTGGAGTAGACATGAGTAGACTCAATTTAGACTTTGTCCGAGACTCGGCAAAGAGGTAGAAAAGCAGGACGAGCAATGCCAGCGTCCAAATCAAGGGCCCCAAAGTGCTGATGATGGACAGGATAAGCGTTCGCAGCGCTGCAATATACCTTGGGCCAAATGCAACGATGGTAAACGATGGTCAACAGTGTCCATCTACCTATTTTAAGGATCGCATGGTACCACCTGGCCATGCTGGATATCCTTTTGTGCTGAGGACTGAGTTTATTTTTTGTGGTGCTAGTGATAGTGGTTCTAACGCTACTAGGGGCTCCTGGCCAAGGACGCTACTAGGGGCTCCTGGCCTTACTACTAGGTACTAGGAGCAAGGACGCTACTAGTGGCTCTAAGGAAACCTGCAAGACCATTTTTGGACAATTGCAACTGCACTGAATGACATGATGCCTCAGAAAACGCATGACTCGGACGCTGCGGAGTGCACGTGCGAGGCGGGCCAATCGCAAGGCCCGCAGATAGCCTTGGACACGCCGGCCGGCACAAGCTTGACAGACTCAATGACAACACAGCTTTTCTCTTCTCGCTCCAAGTGTTCAGTCTTTCACTTCTGTGTCCTTTGGGCTATGCCGATTTCCCCTGTATGGAACGGTGAAACCAGCTCTGGCATTTCCTGTGACCCCCGCAAGATTTGCTGATAGTATCTGATGAGATGATCGGATGCATAAGTACCGTAGTCTACCAAACACATCTCAACTTCGACGGGGTTTAGACGCAAGGAAAATCCTTCCAATTGCACTTCTTCGAGCACACACGAGCAATCCAAGCGTCTGGAGTTTTGGTCGTTGCCGGGATCGGAAACTGCCTGCACTGCTGCTGTCCAAAGACAAAAAGAGTCCAAAGCAAGTGAACCTACCCAGCCTCCAGGACAATCTCCAAGCCCGTTTCGAACAGGGAAATGACAACGATGCAAGCATCAAGGATGTTCCACAATCGCTCAGGCCCAAAAAAAAAGCCTCTGCAACCTTGGAAGTGCAATCCTGATCTTGATGTAACATTCTGCAGTGTCCTCCGGTCATCTGTCAACTGTCGAGACAAGCAATGCAGCAAGTCTTTGTCATTCTTAAGGATAAAATCCGCGTGGGCTGTGACAAATCGGTCGAGACATGCACTTTTGCCCCTACCTCTTCACATCTCTTCTACTTCATGTCCCGACCGCCTTCGTTTGGATATCCGACCCAATTGGTGCAAGCATGTGCAAGCCAAGTGTCCGAATGCAAGCAATCTCACGGCTAGCTCAGCCACGAAAAAGGTAACCTGAACCAAACAACCCTAAGACAAGAGACGAACTTTTGTCAAGCAAAGTACGCGTACATCATCGTACATCTAAGTCTAGCTGTAACAAAACATGTTTAAAGTTTACAGCAATTTCTGAACCAGCAACACAACATCCACCAACAGTAGCAACACTAGCAACAGCAAAAAATAACATAACTTAATTGCAACAGTCGCAAACAAAAACACAAGCCCGCACACACACACACACAAAATACCAACACATGAACGCAACCAGCGCACAGCTTTCTCGCAGCCACATGCATCACACACACACACAACACCTCACGACCTGACACATTCATTGTCAATGGTCAGGGTCGTGAATCTGACAAGTCTTGAAGGGCAAGGCGCAATCACGTAGTTTATTATAGAGAAGATGCCTGGAACTCGCCCCCATGTGCTGTATTGCACCTGGAGGCATCAAGTCGCTCAGCAATCTAGTCAAAAATAACATGAGCAACACTGGACATGCCATGATGATTCATGATGATAGGAGCAGTGTCCCGACCTCCCAACTACGCCCTGTCAAATGCTCAAAAGAGTGGGTTTGGGTTCTGTGGAGTCGCCGAGGAGGTCTAGAGCTTCCCAGGGCAAAACACTCTAGAAGGAGTTAAAAACTAAAAACAAAAACAAAACCCTTCACATTCACTTTCCCTAGGCTAGCTTTGAGTGGAGAATGGATCCAATGCATGGTGGAAAAAGCGCACAAATGGCTACAAATCCTGAACAACTCTGCCTACTGCGCAACTGCATATTTGCAAAAGGCCAAAACCCGTGAAGCTTACTGCAGTAACTAGATAATTCGGCAATGTGATGATTGCTTGACTAGAAGACGACCATACCGCAGGCCCTTATTCTTTCTCTGGGTGAATAATGAAACCAACCTGAAAAAGAAAATAGCTAGGAAAACTTCTCAAACCAGGAAAGAAGGAGGAACGAAGGAGGAAAAAGGGTGACGAAAGTACAGTAGGAGGAAAGAAGGAGGAAAGGAAAGGAAAGAAAAACAATGAAGCGACGACGCGGCGTTCCGCAAAACCAGGTTTCATCAGTAGTATTTATCGCCACGACTGAGGATGGTATATATATATATATATCCTGATCTTTCCGCTTCCCGCAGCGCAGCCCCAACCTGGCCCAACCTCCTCTTCAAAAAACATACAGTAAATCCAGGTTGATCAGCTTCAAATATTGTTCACTGACAATTACATGGATGCATGGATGGATATGTTGGAAATCCTGATTCAGCAACATCGAGCTACTTCCAACAGACTCTTGCAGCTTGCGCTTGCAATTCAAGGTTTCTTTTCTGGTCTGTTGGGCCTCGACGCCCAGCAAAATCAAATTCACCATGATAACGAACCTGGTTTGGTGGCTCACTCATGTTGCCGCATGATGTACGTCTCCAATCTGTGAGAATATATCGAAAACATGATACAGCAAACAACTTCTAAGAATTTGGATGTGACAAAGCAGTCAAACATAATAATGCTGGGCCTCTTGGGCTGACCCATGTGCTTCAAAGTATCTCCATGATTCTCCATGTATCTCCGGTCTTTATTGATGGGAAACCGTGTAAACCCAGCATGTGTTATCCTATACTTGTTGGATGCTCTGCCCTATAACAGGTTGCACTTCACGCGAGCAAGGTTCTGCACCACGTGGGAAAAATAGGCGGATTCCACCAAGCATGTGGGCAGGTCTCCAAATCTGAAAGCCTGGCAAAAACAGTGTGGAAACCTCACCGTTCTCAAGTGCAACAAAAACATGGAGAGAAACTGCATCCGGTGCGGCTACCAACCCAGCACCCATCACCGGGGATGTGATCAAACTTGCACACATTCCTTTCAATGGTCTGTGCGCGGGCTTGCTGAACTGTTGAACCGCTTTGTCCGGACTCACATAGCCTCTACCGAGGCTGGTGACTCAGCTTCAGAGTTGCCAGAAACCGGAGACAACACGCCTTGGTGCCATCAAACCATCTGAGCGCACGTGCTGGATGCTGTATGGTGTGAACGAACGCCGTTCAAAGACTTGTCCATATAACTTGGTTCCAGGCTCTTTTGGTTCAACACAGCCAATGCCTCGCCGCTCAAGACTTTCAGAATGCAAAGGCTGCCAAAAGCCATGGGGTTGACTCGCGAATCGAATTGCAAGCGCCAAAGAAAAGAACAGTTAGTTAAAAACAAACTTTTGCGTTGCGTATATGACTGCAAGTACTATACATTTGCTGCGTGTGCAACCGGAACTGAGATGTGTATCAACCTGCCTTGTGCGTTTGCTCTCTGGTGATGCGGGCGCTGGTACGTGACAAAGCCGAAACGTCGCTTTGTCCACCTTGCAGGTTTTGATGTTGCAGAAGAGCTACAGACTCACTCCATCCCTTGCAAAGGACAAAACAATTGTGATCATTTGACATGGTTTGGGTGGACAATCGGTGGAGCAGCAGAAGGTGAACGGGTGAACGTGCGAGCGTTTCTGCGCATCGGTGCGTCTGTGCAAACCTGTACATGCCCGGATGGGACACACACACACACATGGCATGGCCAAACATGGAATCAGCGTGAAGCAGGGTCGTTTTGGGATTCAACCCTGAGGTGTCGTCTCGCATTAACTCGTCGAACTGTTTTGCCCTGAATCGAGTTGGTGGAGATTCATCGAACTCTGGCGGTTGAGTCGCCTGGTGGGGTTCCGGCTGACTGTGCGCACGCTCAACTCACCATGGGGCCAATCAATGACCAGGTGGCACAACTACGAGCCACAGGGCCACAGGCAAGTTGTTGCATGTCTTTCTTAGGCATTCTGTATTACTGCCGGACATGCCTTTTCACAAGACAAGTTGCAGGAACTTTGATGCGGCCGAAAGCCGTCAGCAGGTTCGGGGAATCCTTGTCAGCCAACTTGGCATGTTCGATCTGTCGAACTATAACTTCAAAACCGGGGTCTGCTGCAACCCCTTCCACAAGGCGTAGGCTGCGGAGCGGTCCAATTTCTAAACCTAGAAATTTAATGAAATTTCAACCTTGGGCCCACCATTGGTCTGGTCTTCTGCCGTGGAAGCGGTAGCGAAGAGCCTCAAGCAGCGCAGCCATGAAGGAAGCTTGCAGAAACGGGAACGGCGTCACTGGGCAACCTCCTTGCTCTTGCCTCCTTTGGACTTTCCCCCTTTTGCGTCCTCGGCCGCAGCCTTTTGCGCGTTCAGGATCTCTTCTCTGGGCGGAATCGTCTCAAGGTCCAATGGAGGAAGTTCGAGGCGTTGAAAAACACTCCAATGACTGCCTGCTATCGTGGCCTCGATGGAGAAGATAGTCCACCGAGCTGCATGGGTCAAGCCACCGGCCATGGTGGTTTCCTCTGCAACTCCTGTCGATAATATTGGGTCGCCGTTGCGGTCACCAAACTCGCCTGCTCCTCGAGCCCTGCGCCCTGGAGCAGAACCCGGCGCGTGTTGGTCAATGATCTCGCCCCTAATGTGCTTGAACAGGTCTCGGCAACATGTTGGATCTTCGTGTCCGTTTCGAAGAGCCCTTCCGCTTGCACGAAGTCGATCTCCATGGTCGTCCTCTGTCAAGGAGCATCGACTGGTGCTCCCTCCCGACGGAACTTGCGCATCGATCCAGAACGCTTCCCAAAGGCCCTTCATCGTTTTGATGGGTGCCTGGGAGTGTGTGAAATTCCCTCAAAGCATGGGATGGGTACCCATGCATAGCAAAACGCGCAAAAGATCACTACAGGAACACCGCTACCTACGTGAACCCGAATATCCGCGCAGCGCCTAGTGGGCGTTAGACACTGGCCACAGAGACGGACTTCTACGTTTTTTTGAGCGCGGGTAAAGGAACCACCTGGCATCAGACACCTCAAAACGAGAGGACACATCCATTGAGAATACTGGTTCTGAAATCCCTCCTGGAAGAACTGCTGAAGAGGACTCAGAAGCTTCAATCCACGGCCTCCTCCGATCCCTTCATCTCCGATCCCTTCATCCAAACGTTGCTACGCCTGGGCTTCCTGAGGATGGAACCGGACCAGACGAACACCTATGTCTTTCCCAGGATGAAGTGGGATCACCAAAAGCAGATCATGGAAGCTCAGGAGGATGTCCCTCTGACTACAAACCAGGCCACGCAGACGCTGACCCGGACGCTCACACTCCTTCAGCAAGAGGACCTGATCAAAAGGTTTGGAGCACTACGGCCATCCCAGCAAATTCAGAAGGTCATGACCACGGACACAGAAAAGCCTTCAGCCGTCATTCCATGGAGGATCACCTTGGCCTTGACAAATCCGCACTCTTCAGAGATGAAGGGACTATGGCACCAACTCAGTCAGGTCACCCTTGGCCCAAAACCTGGGCAAGATGCTGGGGGAACTTTGACCAATATCACAACACCTCCTTTGCGACCATTGTTGAACCCAGCTGCTGCCTGCTACATGAACTCAGTGGTCACTGGCCTGGTTTGGAGTGCGCGTGAGGCTGATGGCCTGAGTGAGGACCACTGGTCCAACTTTCCGGGGGTCTTTGCGACCATTGCAGATGTGTACAAGGGGATGAGCCACTTCTTTTGTGGGCTGATGGGCAATGGGCCACCTTTTTGTCCACCTGGCCGGAACCCTTTAGACAACACGATGTCACCGATTTTGCTCACTACCTTCTTCAACAGCTGAACCCCAATTTCCTCAGTTGTTGTTGGGAATCCCGGCTGGAGCAGGATGGGGAGATCCGAGTGGTGGATCAGAGTGCCCTGGGGCGCCCCCTGCACCTCTACATCTGCAGTGAGCAAAAGAATGTCATGCTGCCTACTGATTTGCAAGGGCTGCTTTCCATCGGCCTACGCGGCCTCACCGAACCGGCAGACGTTACATGTCTACACATTGATCGCTTCGACTCGAGGGGAAGCAAAAGCCAAGCCCGCCTCTCGTGGGACTCTATAGGTGTGGATTCCCTTCTTCCTGGACACCAAGCTGGGCATCGACCACCTTTGAGGTCACAGCGGTATCCTATCACTTCGGCTCGGAGCCATCCTGCAGTGTCGGAGGGTGGGGCATGGTGGATCTTCGATGACGGGAATTCGCCGGTGAAGTTCGATAAGGTTCCGCTGGTGGTGCAAGAGAACTGCTGTCTCTTGTGGCTCAACTGCATGCCACATGGGTCTGCTTGATGGCTGAGGAGTCACCCATCCTGTCAGATGAAGAGAAGATCAAACACATCATCCATGACCCCACCATCAATGACGATTGGCACCTCAAATGGCTTCAGGCCCTTGATGGTTTGGATGCTGGCATCCTAGTGGATCACCCTGTGCTTTGCCACCGGCTCGTCAAAAAATGCATTATGCGCAGGAGCTGGCCTCGGGATCTCAACTCCCACCTGGAGGCCCACAGGGCGCTTTGGGAAGCATCTCTCCCCTTGGCCGAGAAGTGCGCGGTGGACTTCATCACGAAAGCCCACCCGACGAGATGGTGTGCCTGCCAGCCATTCCACGGCACCGACCTGACTGAGGACCACCCGTGTCCATGCCTTCGCCAATTTGGCATTTTGCACCTGGCACTAAGGTCGAGCCGAGCCAGCCGGTTCGAGCCAGGGAAACACTGGCCACGCTGCTTGATAGGACTTTCAGCTAGCTGACCAAAAGCTGGCAGGCTCCTCGGAGCCCAGACGGATCAAAGGATCCACGCCTTCATCACCTGATGAGCGTATGGAAAGAAAAAGATGATGATGATGATGATGATGACGAGGAGGAGGGTGAGGATGAGGATGAGGATGAGGATGATGATGATGATGGTAAGGGCCACTAGCTCTCAGGCCCCATGTCTTCAAAAGGCACGGGCTGGTGCGGACCCCTTAGCCCATGGTCGTGCGGGACTCCTAACCACCTTGGTCATGGAGTCCTTCCTCTACCGCAACTTCATCCGGCTTTTCGGAGGACTTCCTCAAGGGCTCTTTGAGGCTGTTCCAGAGGCTGGCACGGTCTTTCTGACTGCGGTGTATATCCTGTTTCTCCTCCGGGACTCCAAGACCTACCCGAACACCACCTCTCCGAGCGGACAACGATTCAGGTCAAAGAGAACAGCCTCCGAATCTCTGCGCCACCTGCAAGAGCTAGCTGGGGTCCCAAGTCCCCAGCCAGGAATGGACTGACCTTGATCCGACTTTCAAGTCTTCACTTGATCTACCTGGAGTACCACAGGACCCAACTCCCTCCCTATGCTCCACCTGGAGGCCCGAAAGTTCCTTGGATCCCCGCTACGTCTGGATCTATTGGCCAGTATTGGATCATGAATCCAGCACCTGCTTGCTACATGAACTCAGTGGCTACAGGCCTGGTCTGGTGTGCAAGCGAGGCTGGCGGCTGGAGTGAGGACCAATGGTCCTTCTTTTTAGAAGACTTTGCGACCATTGACGTCATGCCACCTGGGGGAGAACCTCTTCTTCTGTGGTTTGCTGGGCAATGTACCACCTTTTTGTCCAATTGGCTCGCACCTTTTCGACAACATGATGTGACTGACTTTGCTCACCACCTTCTTCAGCTGCTCCACCCCAAATCTCTCTTCTGTGAGTTCAGAGTGGTGGTTCAAAGCGCCCTGAGATGCCCCTGGCATCCCAACATCTGCAGCGATCAAATTGGTAGCTTGCTGCCCACTGATGCCTCGGATTGATAGAAATAGCAGAGGTCACATGTCTCCACATCCGCCGCTTCGACTTGAGGGGTTGGACGAATCTCAAAGGACTCTCTTGGGACTCTAAGGTGTGGATTCCCTTCTTCATGGACACCTTGCTGGACTTCGACCACATCCGATACCAGACCACGGCGGTCTCCTACCACCTGGAGACTGGACCAACAAGTGGGCACTACTGCTCTGGCGTCTTCGAGGGTGGGTTTTGGTGGATCTTTGAGGATGGCACCCTGCCCATCCAGCATTGACGGTGCTGCTGCCTGTGGCTCAACTGCATGCCTCATGGAGGGGCAGAGCAGGTCTCCTTGATTGCCAATGAATCCCCCATCCTGTCGGACGAAGAGAAGATGTACAACATCATCCATGTCCATGTCCCCTCCATCCACGATGGATGGCGTGCCAAATGGCTCCCGGCAATCGACTGCCTGGACCCTGGCATCTTGGTCGACTATCCAGGACTTTGCCATCGGCTGGTGACCAAAAGCATCAAGAGCAGGAGCTGGCCGCGAGACATCAACTCCCACGTGGGTGGCCCACCGGGCCTGGTGAGAGGCTTCCATCCCCTTGGCCGAGAATGTGCGGTGAGCTTCATCCAGAGGCTCACCCAACGAGATGGTGCACCTGCCAGCCATTTGATGGCACTGAACTGACTGAGGCCACCCGTGTCCATGCCTCCGCCAATTTGGCATCTTGTTTTTAGCTTTGAGGTGCCACTCGTCCGAGCCAGGGAAACCTGGCTGAATGCTGGACCGCATTTGTTGCAGCTAGATTTGCTGGCCGGCCCTTCGGGGCCCAGACGGATCAATGGATCCACGCCATCATCACTCGATGAGCGTATGGAAAGAAAAGAAGATGATGATGATGATGATGATGATTCGGAAAACCCTTCGCAGGTGCTTTGGGGAAAAGCTGGCTTGTCACTTTCAAGCGCCACCTTTCAAAACGCAAATGCAAGTTCCACCAGCAAGGTCCAAGTGACGGGTAAGTTTCTTCGAAAATCGAGGTAGAATAGAGCCCGAATTTGCCCGTGGCTTCGGACAGTGGCCTCGGAGGAATTGCTGTATACAAATCATGCTGGATACTTTGACCTGCTTCCACTCAAAGAAGGTGCAATAAGGCTTCGCTGAAGTTGCATGAAGTTACTTGGTGCAAACTTATATCTGCCAGTAAGGTGCTTGGGCTGCTCCGCAAGGATCCCATTGATCCTATCTTGTGAACTGGTTCGTCCCCTGGAACGAGTCGCTGGGTGCACTGTGGTCTTGCTGAAAAACTGCTTGGCCAAAGCGGCTGAGGGGTGAAACATCTAAGCAGCGGATTGCTGGGCACATGCAATCCTTTGGCAGAAGTCACATTGAACATCAGATCACCATTGAACAAATTGCATTTAAAGTCTTACTCTCTTCTTTTTCAGTCTATACCTGTGAAGCAGTCGATTTTGAAGGGTTCAAACGGGGCACAAGGGAAAGCATTGAACGAAGGAGAAAAGAGAGAGAGAGAGAGAGAGCGAGGGAGGGAGCGAGGAATCAACAAGAGGACTGTAGACGAAACGAATGGCATACAAAAACGGGCGGAAAAGCACAGAAGAATGGGGAAAGGTTCATCGATGTCTGCATGCACGAACAGTCGGATGGTATGGGCTGGGTGTATTAGACTCTATTTGCTCGCTGTTTGGCCTCTTCCACCTCCTCTAAGACTGCCCTGATGGCAAAGGACTGAAAGGCACCCAATGGTGATGTTCTCGAGGACTTCGGAGTCGACTCAAGTGGAGGCAGGCGCCGCCGCAAGACCACCGTGCGCAGCCTACGCTTCAATACCCTTTGGACACTGCGGTCCTCGACAGGCAGGAGCCTTTCACAAGCTATGGCCATGACAATTCTCCGGGGGGGGTCCTGCAAGTCATTTTATATAATATGAATTGGTGGCCCAACCCTCAGGCCATCATATTTCACAAGAGCTCTCTATAAAAAGACCCTGCTTGACCTAACCCTGAAACATCATCATATTTAATAAAATGACTCCGCCTGACGTTGGATTCCAGTACTTGCATATCCTATTTGCACCTCATTTCCTTCCCTGAGGCCATGACAAAACTGAAACCAAAACTGCAAAGCGACATGACATCACAAGCACAGCGGACACCAATTTGTTTCATCTTATTCTTCTCTCTTCTCTCTGGTCTGTGTCTGTGTCCTCAGTGAATCTCATCTCAATTCTGAAACGCACACTGAAAAAAACATGTTTCCTCTATAAAATGAGGGTCTGACGTCCCCAGGTGGAGGGGTCATAAAACGTTTTATAACAAGCCTTGACCCTGGCCATTTCATAGAGGATACTGTCATGGGCATCACAAGCTGTTGGCTTGGCCAAATGCCATGATTGGTCAGCTGAAATAGGCCTGGAGGACCCCTCCTGGTCGTGGCAAAGACTGCAAAAATCATCAAACATGATCAAAAATGCAGCGCAATCAGTGCATGCATGGCAGGGTGTCGCTGGGCCTATGGGCCTATGGCTATTCTGGCTGCCCTGCAGTGCTACTTCAAAGGGTTCACGGTTTCACGGACCCTGTCACTGTCGAAGAACTCAGGCAAGTCACCCCATCAAGCACCAGATTTTGCGCGAACTTCAGTGGAGCATGAGCTTTTGTGAAGAGCTGCTACAACACGGACAGGACTGTACGGCCTTCTTGCCTGGACGCGGCACACTTCTAACTCATGCCGGATTTGGGCCAAGGGCATTGTGCCTCAACTTGAGCCGGAAGGGTTCGAATCAGCGATGACACGCTGGGAGGATGGAGGATGTTTGGCCCATCCCCAACACTGTCGGCTTGTGGGCCTCACGATTGGGCCTTGGGTGGAGGACTATGTGGTGGATGGCACATGCATGGCCATTGCGCCTTGGCCTACTCAAACGAGAGCGCTTGTCTATGATTGCTGGCTGCTTTTGAAGGCTTGGAAGGCCCTTCAGGCTGGACTGCGGTCGGAGCTGATAGCTGGTGGCATAGATTTGGCACTGAGGAGTGGCAACGGGCAGCGCTTGCGTATCTATCACGCCACCCTTGCTCAGCTTATGAGCGAGCTGGTCAGACCACTAGGGGATGGATCCAGCAACAAACAGAGAGGCAAGTTGTTGCTGCTAGCGTGCCGGATGAGACGCCCAGGCAGCGTCTTGAGGAACTTCGCACTTCGCACTGCAAATGCTTTCTATGCGGAGGTCTATGGCATATGGCCAGGCTGTCAAGCGCATCACAGCATTGTTGCAGGACAAGAAGCATTTCATGCACCCTGAGGCTGGCCCCATGAGCTTGTGCAGTGGGCCCCTACGAGTGAGCAGCACGAACCACTTCAAATCAAAGCCTGTTCGATGCACTCGCCATGCCACTGTCTGTGCTCAAGTTGTCACAAAGGACTCTAATATATATGCTGGCTGCAAGGAATCGCCGCAGCTCGAAAGCAGCTACGGAAGGCCTTGCGGCCCCTTGTGAGGTGGAAGAGCCCGAGCTTACGGCTCGCCCGGACGAGTCTCGAGTACTCACTGCCTTGTTCTGCGAGGGCGCAAAGTTGAAAGCCGAGACTGCCAGCAGGTGTCCTTGATTGAATAAGAACATCTGAAGCAGTGGTTGGGACGGCAGCGTGAGGCCCTGGGGACGTAAAAGAAACTGGTTTTTCCACGAGTTGACGTCGTTGTGATTAATTAGCACTTTTGGCTTGCGCTGTGCCTTGCCTCTTGAGAGGATGTCTCTTGTGCAGACTCAACAAAAGGTTGCAAAAAAAGGGGAGTGCAAGAAATAAAAATCAACAGGAGGGAGGCGATCGTAGACAGAACGAATGGCATAAAGAATGGGCGGAGAAAAAGCAAAGAAGGATGGAGAAAGGTGCATCGATGTATGCATGCAGGGACAATCGAATGGTGTATAATATAGACTCACTCATATTTGCTCGCTTAAGGCGGGGCAGGTGGAAACAGTACAATAATACATACATATCATAAGAATGTGTATACAAGAACGGTTAGAATACAAATTCGGAGCTCACAGGTCTCACAAATTAAAGTAGGAGAGTCTCTGTACAAACAGATTTTCCGATTACATCCGAATCATCCGATTACCAGGAACGCTACAGTAACTATGGCTGCTCCTATCCCTGCATGCAGAGAGCAAAACAAACATGCCAGCGGCACCTGCGACATTTTCAGTTGGAGCGTTTGTTGTTGTTGTATACTCTAGCGGCACTGGCAGCTGCACACCTTCGCTGAACTCGCTGAAGGCCATGGATTCCTTAGGATGCCAAGTGAGTCTCTCATTCGTACAAGTAGTTCCCGGGCAAGCCGGCGGCGGAAGTTTCCTATAAGAAGAAATTGACCTATAGGAGTGTCCACGTTCTCTCCAACATGCGCGTCCTCCAGTCAAACGCACGCGCTCCGCACTTGTAACCCACGGGATTCCACGTGTGTAAGGTGTGTGTGCCCCCTGCGAGAGATGACACACATCCGGCCACCACGACTTGCCAAGGATGCGGTCCACATCGACACACATCCCACCGTGGCATTCTTCAGTGGCGGCAAACCTTGCATATCACACATCGGACTGAATGGAATCCGAATTTGAATGTAAAATCTGTCTTGAACTCTGAGACTATGTATGATGAGTCTTGTATGATGAGGGGTGTATGACAAGTGATGAATGATGAGTGGTGTATGTTGAGTGGTGTATGACGAGTGGTGTATGATGAGTGGTGTATGCTGACTGGTGTATGATGAGTGGTGTCTTGACCAGCAGTTGAATGTCCTGTCCTGCATAACTGCAACCAAATACTATCAGTATGAACTGAACGTGCACGCCGCGAGAGATGACTCAGCAGCGAGAGATGGCTATAGCGAGAGCTGACTCAGCAGCCAGAGATGAATGAGCAGCGAGAGATGACTCCTCCGCGTACTACACTGTTCGCCAGTACAACTCTAGTTGTACTACGAAGTCGCCAGTCCTCAGCTTCTAGCTGCACAGATTGCTCCGCGCGCTGAAGTTGTACTACAAAGTCGCCAGTTCTCATCGTCCAGCTTGCCAGATTCTCCGCGCGCTAAAGTTGTACTACAAAGTCGCCAGTTCTCAGCTTCCAGCTCTACAGGTTGCTCCGCGTACTAAAGTTGTACTAGAAAGTCGCCAGTTCTCACCATCCAGCTCCACAGATACTCCGCGTACTAAAGTTGTACTACAAAGTCGCCAGTTCTCAGCTTCCAGCTCTACAGATTGCTCCGCGTACTAAAGTTGTACTAGAAAGTCGCCAGTTCTCACCATCCAGCTCCACAGATACTCCACGTAGTAAAGTTGTACTACAAAGTCGCCAGTTCTCCTCGTCCAGCTCGCCAGATACTCCGCGTACTAAAGTTGTACTACGAAGTCGCCAGTTCTCAGCTTCTAGCTGCACAGATTGCTCTGCGTACTGAAGTTGTACTACAAAGTCGCCAGTTCTCATCGTCCAGCTTGCCAGATACACCGCGTACTAAAGTTGTACTACAATGTCGCCAGTTCTCAGCTTCCAGCTCTACAGATTGCTCCGCGTACTAAAGTTGTACTAGAAAGTCGCCAGTTCTCAGCTTCC